TATGAGTACCTCACCTGGCAACCTCTGGGAATAAATAGTCAAATAGTCAAGATGAAAGACCAGATTCCGTCACTTCTGGAGCTCAGTGAATATTATGAAAGCTTTGAAAAACAAAGTTTCGGACTAAATAATAAAGCCTTTATCTTTACACCTCAAAAAGTGGAATATACAATCTGCTCTGAAGGACTAAAACTGTAAAAACCATCATCAAGCAGTGGCAGCTTCAACATTTTTTCTCTTTGCATCGAGTCTTTTCAGATTAATGGAAATCTGTCATAGAAAGATGGATGTGTGCTGTGTGCAGTGAGCGCTGTCTTCAGATGTGTCTCCGCCTCAGTGTGTAACGTTACTCTGCTTGTTTTGTCCCGCCGCTAATGGAGAGAGTGCAGCGAGAGAGAGAGAGAGAGAGAGAGAGAGAGAGAGAGAGAGAGAGATTGATTATGCAACCTGAAGTGCCACAGGGCAACTTCAATCTGGAAGTGCTTAAAGTACGCAGAGACCCATAGTGATTCCTCCGGGTCAAATTGAAGGAGGCATGATCTGACAGAATGAAGTTTTCAATTTGTTGGATGTGTTCCGTGCTCTTTGTGGCGGTGAACAATCTCGTGTAAATGTGATCCATGCGTTGGGGGAATGATTTCTCTCTGATGTTGAATTGTTTTGTTGTTGTTGTCGAGCACTTTGGCTTCTTCAAGTTCAAACAGCTTAGATTATTCAGAACAAAGCAGCAGTTAATACTGATGAAAAGTAAAGCTAACTCCTGTCCTTATCGCCAAATCTCCCTCCTTAAAACAACTTTTTCTTTTCAAAATACAGAAGAATGTTAACTAGTGTGTGTGTGGGAGCATTTTTTGATACAATAAGCTGTATTCTTCTGAAATTAGCAGGTCACGTTCATTAATCATAGCGTCTGAGCGCCGCTTTGAACTATCAGGCCAGGTCATTAAACCCAGCCTGTCTGGGGCGCGAGAGTGGGCGACACGGAAACACTTTGGAGAGCGCTGGTTCACCCAGACACAGGACACGCTAATAATGACCAGTGTGTGTTGAGGCGGTCCAGGTATTACTATTATGTTGTGGGGACCTGAATCTGTTTACACAGTCCCATTATGGGAACTTGGGATCAGTCATCTTCATTATTTGGACAAAAAGCGAGTCCCAGTCACGAAAACCATTGCGTTAGCTGTATGTTCGGTTAAGATTAGGTTTAGGTTTAGATTAAGGTTCAGTTTAGGTGAAGGTTTGATTTAGGTTTAGGTTAAAGATTGGCTTAGGTTTAGGTTTAGGTTAGGTTTAGGCAAGTAGTAACCACGGTTAAGGTTCTAAGTCTGTGTGTGTGTGTGTGCGTGTGTGTGCGTCTGCGTGTGTGTGTTGGCCACTTTTCACAGTGTTACTCTCAGCCTCAGCGTGGGCTTAATTTGGAGAAATAACAACATGAGATGGGAGCAAGTAAAGGTCATGAGGGTGGAGGTGGGGGTAAGGGAGTGAGAGGGGATTTTAGAGAGTGTGTGTGTGTGGCTTTCTATAAGGTGATGGGTCCTGTGTGTATATGACTGTGTGTGTGTGTTTTCAGTTCCGCAGTTCCAATTCATCCCTCTCCATTCTTTTCTCCTTTGTCCTTCTCGCTGACCCTTTTTAAGCACCGCCGGAAAGTGAAAATCTAGCTCCTTGATCATTGCTCCGACACTGCTGCTAAAATGTGTTCCCATTTAAGGCGAGGCTCACCCAACCGCTCTCTGTGTGGCTTCCTTTTAAAACCAACTTAATCAGGCAGGAATTTATGTTATTAGGGTCAGGGACACTGGGAAGCAGCCTGACTGAGAAACAAAGTGAAGGAGAGCGAGAAGGTGAGGACACAAACGTGTCACTTCATGGAGGCTGCCTTTATCTCAGGGCTCATGGGAAAAACAGGCCTAGAGATGAAGGTGTCCCGACCAATTTACCTGATCAGGTCACAAGATGAGCATAAGTCTGTTGCATTGTGGGATTTGCTACGTGAGAAATTAGTGCCAACAACTAAATTTTCCTGTGACCCTGCACACTTAATCTTGTAGAGGCCTTTGTACAACCTGGAAGTTCCAGCTGATCCTGCAGGAGGTTCACTGTATTTATTTACTGTAGTAGAAACTCTTCTCTCTCCCTGTTATGCATTAACTGAAGCTGATGATGATGATGGTGAGTTAGAGGGTGATTATTCTTGATTACAACTTTGTCTTATTGGCCACCATTCCAGTTTCTAATAATAACCCTGTATTCATCAGTTTAATTGCTCAGACCTGGGAACATGTCAACTTTACTTAGAAGAAGTTCAACAAACACAAGCAGTCACCAACAATCATTTTTAAAGCTGCATTACTTTTTGGCCACCTGGTGGCAGCAGAACAAACTGTACATGTTAAAAAAAAACTCTGGCCGGTTGTGTTTTTGACATAGACTATACAAAGATGGACGACATGACAGCTCCCCAAAAGTGAAGCCAAAGTGTCTCAATGGCCACCCGGTGGCTGGCTGCTGTAAAGGTCATAACTCCTGCCTCCTCCATGTTAGCGGGTGGGACATGGGCGAAACTAAAAACGTCAACATCAAATATATGAATTTATCGTATTGTGTATCGATGAGACATACTCCATCCCCCAATCACTGCTGCACAGACTCTGACTGAATAGTGGGAGGAATTGGAAACACGTAGTCCATTTTATATACATTATATGGTTTGTGTCCAGTAGCTACATGCTAACTTTTCTTTTGTTTGGAGCTGATCAGGTTGTGTTCAGTGTTGTTTTTTTCCCCTAAAAGCAGCTTTGTTTGAAAATGAGGCTGATGAATGTTGAGATTGAAATAAAACAGTAAGATTTTGAGCCTCAGAACCAAAACAGTACAAATGAGGCATTTCAGAGTTAGGGGATAATTGTTTTTTTTCCCAGAGATTTTGTCACTGGAAAAAAAAACTTTTACATTTCACATAGTCATTCAAACCATGCTTAGCATAACAAATAATTAGTACAACTTTGATCCTATTCTAAAGCTAAATGTAGCATATTTAAAAAAGACAATTAAGGCAATAAACAAGAAAATTATTACCCAGGCTTTTCATCAATCCGAAGTTAACAGAATGATTTGCTGTACACACAGTTTTGCAGTTTATTGATAAATTAGGATCAATGATTTGCATACGCTCAGTTTTGGCTTCACCTATATGGAGATGGATTAAATAATCTGGGTTAATTGTTGGGTTGGTAAAACCTGTGTGATTGTTTGTTTTTCTTGTCCCATTGGATTCATTTTAAGTAAAGTCACTGTGTTTCCAGATAGCTGCAGTTAACTCTATGGGCATAGTTATTGTTGTTTATACCGTAA